TATGTTGCATTGACTATGCAAGTAATATGGGGATCGAAAAGATGAGCTCCACAGAAATCTCAGATAATGGCTCTTCTTCAACTACATCACCTACAATACAGTTTTTTACAACTTTTGAACAATGAGGTATAATTTTTTAATGAAGCTCAGTCATGACTTATTGTGTCTCATGACTGGAGTGGTTTTTTTCTATAAAAAATGAGCTTGATATTGATGAGCAGCACACTAAATTCTTGTTTTCTACATTTAAGTAACTTACCCTCTTCATCAGACACATCGAGAATCTCAGTCATGGTCTCTGGAACATTCAGTTTGTGTTTCTCTGTAACCGTCTAATGTAACACCATTCAGAGTCATGGAAAATAGACAACCAAAACAGAGAAAGATTATAGTTTAAATTAAAAAAAAATCCTGGCTCCATTTCCAGAGGCTAAAGCAATCATGAGCTTACAGTTGTGGTTGTGATGACCTCCTCAGTGACGACTTTCAGTGTGTCTACCACAGAAATGTAACCCAAACGTTTCGCAATTGACAGAGCGGTATTTCCATTCTAACAGAGAGAAGGATATACGATAGCGTACCAGCAGAACTTTTTTCACAACATATTTCACATGTTAAAAGTAAATGCTTGGGCTCTATTGTGTCTTACCACTGTAGTAGTATTGGGCTTGGCCCCATGTTGTAATAAAACATTAATTATGTGTGTATTCCCTTGTTGTGCCGCTTGATGAAGTGGTGTGTAACCATTCTGCAGGACAAAAGTTTAAAAAGAAGACAACAAAATTTTGTTAAGTCACAGTAGAAACTAAAACAAAAGTGATGCTATATTTGAGTTTTATTTCACGTTGTGTCTGCAGTTTAAGTTAAATAGAGCTTGCATGCTTCAAATTTAAGATTTAAATATAACCTTGGTTTTGGAGTTGACGCTGGCTCCTTGTTGTAACAGGAAGTTAACCATCTTGGCATTTCCATAATGACAGGCGACAATCAGAGGGGTATATCCAAGCTGTAGCGAGGGGGGAGAGGGTGAGAGATGAAAACTGATCTTCAGTAAACAAGCACTAAACTCAATCTTAATGCTTCCTGAATATATGACGTATATGAAGACTTTGTTATGTTTTTAAAAAGCCTCTGGATGGCAGGTATTTACATGCACGTCCATATGATACACTTAAATATTAACATGTAAACATAAAGCGAATAAACAGAAAGTAAGAAGACATACTGTCATTCACACAAGAAAATTCTTGTAGATTAGCATACTGTTTGGTTTTCATTACTAGTAACAATTTTCTTTTGTGTATACTTGTTAAATTTGTCATGCACATGCATGTCTGTACTTTGGTTTGCTGGTCCAAGTTGGCATCATGTTTGGCTAGTACTTCTGTTACAGTGACTTTGTCCTCTTGGGCAGCAAGATGCAGAGGAGTTAGTCCATTCTGCAAAACACAAAGCAATGTCACATTACCATCCTTCAACACACTTTTTTATTTTATTACTTTTCTTAACATAGTAATAAATTGCTTCATGGAACAAATTAGACAAAACTGTTTTTATAGAGCACTCAGCTTAAGAACTAAAGAGTTTTATACAGCTGCATGTAGAGTGCATGTGTTTCTTGTTCCCACTTCAAATTATTTTAATGAATAAAAATGTCATAAAGATTGTGCTTCTGTGTGACCTTTGTCGCTGTGTTCACATGGGCTCCTTTTCCCAGCAGGAGGCTGGCCATCTCTGCATGTCCTTCCTGAGCTGCCAGATGCAGAGGGCTGACTCCCTGTTTCGTTAAAGCATTGGTCTCTGCTCCATACTGTAGTAGCGCTAAAGCAATGTTTGTCTGGTTCTTTTTGGCTGCAATGTGGAGAGGAGTGTAGCCATTCTAAAACAGAGGAAAGAAAGAAGATATACACTGTGATAGAAATACACTACATGCAAACAACTGTGAGCTTCTCATGGACCTTTTTTTTTCTTTAAAACTCAGCCTAACCTTTGCAGTAGCATGAGGCGATGCACCTTTATCCAGGAGCAGCAGCGCCACCTCTTGGTTGTCATAATGAGCTGCCACATGTAGTGGAGTTAAGCCATTCTGTGAAAAGAAGCATTTGATTTAATGAACCTTTTTGCAAGCCTTTGTGATTTTATTTGTGCGGGTTTTTTTTGTTTCAAGTCAGTTTTATTCCATAATTTGTGTTTCAGAGAAAACAATCAGATGTTCAAAGATTAAGTGTAATGTGTCTCTCTCTGAAATTAAGACAATTACCCTCAGTGCTGGGTTTTGTTTCAGAACCTGCTTCTACAACTTCAGCTCACCTTGCCAGCATCATCTGTAAGAGCTCTGCGCTGAAGGAGAAGTTTTGCTACGTCGAGGCTTCCATATTTTGCTGCTACATGTAATGGAGTGAATCCTTTCTGTAGATGTAAAAGGAATTAATTAAAATTCCACTGATTTAACTTATCACATGTTATTTATCTGTCTACATGCATTCATCCTCTGTTCACCTTGGTGGCCATTGAGTGTGAAGCTCCAGCCTCCAGGAGCACAGCAGCTGTCTCCACCTGCCCCTCTCTGGCTGAAATGTGGAGAGGAGTGTAGCCATTTGTGGTGGCAGCATCCGGGTAGGCCATGTGCTGTAATAATAGCTGGACAATGTCTGTTTTTCCCAGACGGGATGCAATGTGCAGAGGAGTCTGGTCCTCCTGTAGTTGAGGGAAAAAGAGGTAGTACATGTTATAGAAGAAAAGGATAAAAGGATATGATGCAGTCATTTAAAAGCAGTAAAATTAGAATGAACAGTGTTGTTGTAGCCAGAGCTGGGACAGGTGACATCAGCCATTCAAACCAGTGCTTGAAATATAGAAATTTACTGTAAACAGAAGGAAAGAGTGATTAATGTTTACAGCTGACTCACCCTGGCCATGGCATCCACCAACGCTCCATTTCTCAGCAAACAGCGAACCACTTCCATCTGTCCTGCTCGTGCTGCCATATGGAGAGCTGTCTCACCGCGCTGATAAGCAAAGGCAGAAGATTTATAAGCTTTAGGACACTGTGCTAAACAAGGTTATTATCGTTAACGAAAACTAACGAAATAACGAAAACTAGAAGTGAAAAAACATTTTCGTTAACAGAAATAAAAATAAAAACAAAAAAAGGAAAACTAACTAAAACTGTAATGAGTGTTCACAAAACTAACTAAAATTAACTGAATTTATAGCAAAAATGTGTTTA